CCAAAACGATGATGGCAGAGAAAGGGCGGAAGCGCTCAGCTCCTCCTTTGGCTCCTCCTGTACCTTCTGCTGTGCAGGCAGAGAAGAAGAATTCATTCCACTTCTCTGAGGAGCGAAGGCAACAGCGGCGACCAGAGAGGAAACTCTCAACCCTATTAACAAAATACATCACCAGGCCTAGACAGTGTCTGCACTGGATTTCTTAAAGAATTCAAGCATGAAATTGCTCCTGACACCAAAGCATTAGGTGAGAATCGGTTCAGCACAGGGCCACCAGGACGGCAGCCGGATTCGGGGGATGCCCTATGAGATGAGACCGAGGGAGCTGGGTGCCTTCAGCTTGGAGGAGAGGAGACTCCGAGGGGGTCTTGTAGCAACATATAGGCACGGGAAGGAGTTTCACACAATAGAGCTGTTCCCCCCTGCAGCAGAGGGCAGAATGCACTCCAGTGGGACAAAGCTCAGGGAACTGGGTTTCAGTTTGAATGCCGGGAAGCTCTTCCTGACGATTAGGACCCCTGGGATATGGAATGGGCTTCCAAGGGAGCTGGTGGAGGCCCTTCAGTGTGGGCACTCAAGGAAAGCATGGACAAGCACATGCTGGGAATCATATAAGCGGAGCCGGCTGGAGCCATGGGTCAGACTAGATGGTCCGGGAGACTCTTCGGACTCGCTCTGTTTCTGTTTGGTGTACGAGTAGTTAAAGCTGAAAGGGATCATGATTTTCTGTTCTCCAAAACCCTGTGAACTAGCTCCTTGACACCATGTCTTCATTAATCCCAGGACACCCACTCTTCTTCCGGCTCCTCCTGGATTCCTGTATGTGGCTCCCGGAAGCCTCTGAGAGGGCCTGACCTTCCAGTCTGCCCTGGTCCCAGAACCCCGCACTCCGGATCGTGGCAGCCAGCCAGCGTCTCCGAGCTGCAAGGAAGGCTCTTGCAAGTGCTTCTCGCCTGGCCCAGCAACTTCAAGAGCGTGTCCACAGGGCCAAAACTTCCTCTGGCGGGCGGCGTAAAAAGAAACACTCCTATTGACAAAATGTACAAAATGCCAATTTCCTTCAACCAGACCCCACGTTCCACCAACAGGAAAACCACATCTCACTGTGAGCAGAAAAGCATTCCTGAAGAGGCAGGTGTTCCTTGACAGAACAGCCGAAGCCGGCCGAGGATCCAGCCGCCGGGCCTTATGTCAGCCGCTAGACCCGGGCTTGCCCGCCCCCACAATGTCCGGCTGAACGAGGGAAGCAGGGGCATCTCTGGGGGCCGGCCGGCTGGCCGGCCTGCCGCGGACTCAGAATCCGGAGGAGCTCACAAAAAGCCCTCTTGCCCGCCCGCCCCCTGCCCAGGCGCCTCCGGGCTCGGGCAGCGCACCGGTCCAGGAGCATGCGCTGCACGAGTCCACCGGCGACCCAGCGAGGCAGAGCAGTGCAGCCTCACCCTCACCCTCACCTCGGGGAGGAGATCCAGGAGGCGCCTCTCGGAGCATGCTGGCGGAGCGAGCGAGCGCGGCCAGTCCGCCCCTCCACCTGCTCGGGCTCTGCAGGAGCACCATGGGGCTGGCCGGTCGCGGGGGGCACGGTGAGGCTCAGAGCCCCCCCCGCGGGCTCCCGATTGGCTGGGCCTGCAAGCGCGGGACGCGTCCTCGCTCAAGCGTCAGCTCTGCCGCTGTCAAACGCTTTATTTTTGTACATATAAGGAAGTGGGCTGCCGATACGATCTGAAGGGGCTTCCTGTTTTGTATGTGTGTGAGCAACGATGCAGCCACATGAAGCGGAGCTGCAGCCTCCTTCCCCAAGACGCGAAGCACGCGGCCTTCCGGGACGGGGTGCCCCACGGGAGCCCTGGCTGGCCCCGTCTGGCTCCACCGGCTGTCCCACCGCCTCGCTCAAAGCTGTTCGGGGGTTCGCAGCTCCCGAACCGTCTCCCGGCGTCCGCTGCTTCTGGAAGGCAGCAGAGCGCCAGGGAGGGTCTCTGCCGGCCTGCTCCCAGCTAGATCACGTGAAGCCGAGACCGCCGGAAGTGCCGGCTCTCAGAGGAGCCGCTGCGGAAGCAGCGCTCACCCTCTCAGGCCGGCTGTCCACGCAGCGCAGGCGTCCAGAGGATGGATGGCCCTGGACAGTGGCTCTGGGCTTCCTGGACATGCTGCGCAGCTGTCCAGCGGCAGAAGCAAGCTGCCTGCCACCGGCACCCTCTGGGCCGTCCCTGCAGCCACGGCCTCCAGCGCATCGCGCAGACCGAGCGAGGAAATCTCGGCATGAGCGCAGGGGGAGGAGCACCAACTGACACCAAGCGGGGACAACGCTGCTCGCGCGTTCCTGGGCAGCCTTTCACTTGGAGGAAGAAAAGGGGAAGCGCAGGCCAGGGTCCCCTCCCAGAGAGAAGTCATGGGACTGAAGCTTGTTAAGGAGCAATTAATGAAGCAGGCGGTCTAACCTGTAAATGCCCCCACGCGGCACTGAAGATGCCGCACGAATTTGTTTTGGAATGGAAAGAAAACACTCTCCAAGAACTGAGCGTTTTGTTTAGTCGCGAAGTCGTGTCCGACTCTTTGCGACCCCATGGACAACACTCCTCCAGGCCTCCCTGTCCTCCACCATCCCCTGGAGTCCACCTGAGCCCACGCCAACTGCCCCAGTGACCCCATCCAGCCCCCTCATCCTCTGCCCTCCCCTTCTCCTTTTGCCCTCAATCGTTCCCAGCATCAGGCTCTTCTCCAGGGAGTCCTTCCTTCCCATCAGGTGGCCAAAGTATTTGAGTTTCATCTTCAGGATCTGGCCTTCAAAGAGCAGTCAGCGCTGATCTCCTCTAGGACTGGCCGGTTTGATCGCCTTGCGGTCCAAGGGACTCGCAGGAGTCTCCTCCAGCACCACAATCCAAAGGCCTCAGTCCTTCGGCGCTCAGCCTTCCTTAGGGTCCAGCTTTCACAGCCATGCATTGCAACTGGGAAAACCATAGCCTTGACTGTACGCACTTTTGTCGGCAGGGTGATGTCTCTGCTTTTTAGTATGCTATCTAGATTTGCCATAGCTTTCCTCCCCAGGAGCAAGCGTCTTTTAATTTCTTGGCTGCAGTCCCCATCTGCAGTGATCTTGGAGCCCAGGAAAATAAAATCTGTCACTACCTCCATGTCTTCCCCATCTATTTGCCAGGAAGTGAGAGGACCGGATGCCATGGTCTTAGTTTTCTTAATGTTGAGTTTCAAGCCAGCTTTTGCGCTCTCCTCCTTCACCCGCATCAAGAGGCTCTTTAGTTCCTCCTCACTTTCTGGCAAATAGATGGGGAAGA